TTAATGTCCATTGTCAATGTTAACCCTTGTGAAAAGGAAGTGCGCTTAACTGTACTGAATGTACACCTGTATTGTATTTTAAATCATAACATGAAAAAAGAAGAAGTACTTAATGATATCTAATATTACTGGAGTGCTTAAAGTGAGACACTTTCATAACCATGTTTCTTAACACACTTAAGTAGTTAAGTGCATTGTAATAATGTAAAATTAAAGTACATTTTAAATCATTATTTTTTTATCTTTTGTCATGCTTTAAAAAAGCAAACTTATTTTAATGTGTTGACTAAAGCACGTGTAAAAGACTGATGATAATTTTACTGTAGCATGTTATTCGATATTGCATTTAAAGTTAATATACAACTTCATCATTACAAATGTGTAATTATAAATATATTTTAATACAACATTCAATAGAATTTACATTAAAATATATTTTAGTTCACCATAAATGCTTGTCAGTACATTCAGCAGTACACTTTAACCATGAAACAACAGAATTATGAAATTACATATAAACGGGATAGTTCACCCAAAAATGAAAATTCTGTCATCATTTATTCACCATCATGTTGCTTCAAACCTGTACACTGCAAAAAATGCTTTTCTAGCTTAGATTTTTCGTCTTGTTTCCAGCCAAAATATCAAACGATTCTTAAATCAAGAAGGATTTTCTAGACAAGTAAAAATTATTGTCTTGTTTTCAGAAAAAACAAGTCAAAATTAAGTGAGTTTTTGCTTGAAACAAGCTAAATAATCTGCCAATGGGGTAAGCAAAATAATCTTGTTTTCTGTTTAAAAAAATATTATTTTGTTTACCCCATTGGCAGACTATTTTGCTTGTCAGAATAATTTTTACTTGTCTAGAAAATCCTTCTTGATTTAAGAATTTTTAGATATTTTGGCTGGAAACAAGACAAAAGAGCGTATATTTTTGCAGTGTATGACTTTCTTTTTCATACAATGGATGACAATGGTAACCAAAAGAGTTTGGTTACCAGCTTTCTTCAAAGGAATTGTTCACTGATATAGCAAAGCCTCAACTTTGTTTGAGTTTCCAAAGATAAATGGAGGTGGACTGTGTATTGAATTTTAAGGTCACTGATTTTGTCTGGCCTGTCAAGCCGTTGAGTCCGAGGGCATCGGGCCAGACCTTCGCAGCTGCTCTTTCTGTAGTGCCTTTGACCGGGTGAACACCCATCCCCCTCGTCCCACAGGACCATCCTTCACTGCTGGTGCAGCCTGGGTGACTGAGTGCATTGTGTATATGGGTGGGTGTAGGACGGTCTTGTCAACATGTCAAGAGTCCGACGTAAGTTCCTAGCTAGCTCAGCAAATCCTTGTAACCGAGTTTCACGTGCTTTACATCAAAAGGAAACAGAAGCAGGGAAATACATAAGCGTTTCCAAACAGATCTATGCGTAAAAAAAACTGAGCAAGGCATAAAAAAGCCCTGAAGAATCCAGCTAAACCAGTCTGCTGACATTAGTTTCCTTTGAGGTGTACTTTCTGTGAGTTAGTAGGTTTGCTGTAATTATAGTCGACCCTTTGCAAAAACAACAAAACATGTCAATTGTTTAACCAGCTTGACACACACACATGTACACACTCAGGCAGGTGGAAACAACATGATGTTTATGGTGTCTGGAAGCTCTATACACACCTGTTGCAGTGCAGAAAGGAAGCACGTTTCTAGAGAAGTGCTTTGTTCCTACATGTATTATGTATTTATTTTACATATTCGACTGTTCAAAAGTTTTGGGTTGGTAAGATCATTTTTTCATGTTTTTGAAAAAAATAAAAGTCTTATGCTCACCAAACTGCATTTATTTGATCAAAAATACTGTAAAAACTAATATTGTGAAATATTTTCTATTTGAATATGTTTTCAAATGTGATTTATTCCTGTGATGCAAAGCTAAATTTTCAGCATCATTACTCCAGTCTTCAGTGTCACATGATCCTTCAGAAATCATTCTAATATTCTGATTTGCTGCTCAAAAAAACATTTCTGATTATTATCAATGTTGAAAACAGTTGTGCTTCTTAAAGGATTAGTTCACTTCCAGAATAAAAATTTCCTGAAAATTGACTCACCCCCATGCCATCCAAGATGTTCATGACTTTCTTTCCTCAGTTGCAAAGAAATTATGGTTTTTGAGGAAAACATTCCAGGATTTTTCTCCATGTGGTGGACAACGGATTGAAGGTCCAAATTGCATTTTCAATGCAGCTTCATCCCAGCAGAGGTATAAGGTCTTATCTAGCGAAACGATCTGTCATTTTCTTAAAGGTGACATATTATGCCCCTTTTTACAATATGTAATATAAGTCTCTGGTGTCCCCAGAATGTGTCTGTGAAGTTTCAGCTCAAAATACTCCACAGATCATTTATTATATAATTTTGAAAATGCCTATTTTGAGTGGAAGCAGAAACAAGCTGTTTTTCGGGCCTGTGTCTTTAAATGCAAATGAGTTGCTGCTCCCCGCCCCCGCTAAAAACATCGGTTTTGGTTCTGATTATCATGTTTATCGGTCTGAAATCATGCGTTTTAAACCATATGAGTTTAAACTTAAGATATAAGGTTTTCAAAATCAGACACGCTCTTTTTCTCAGATGCTTGCAGAAAAAGGCTTACCTAAACAAAGTTACTGGGTTAATCTTTTTCACGTTTCCTTGGTTGGTAGATGCACCAGGAACCTGATTATAACACTTAAAACCTGGAAAAGTCAGATTTTCATGATGTGTCACCTTTAAAAAAAAAATACAAATGTACATACTTTTTAACCACAAATGCTCGTCTTGCACTAGCTCAACTTCACGCATTACGTAGTCATGTTGGAAAGGTCACACGTAGGACGTAGGCGGAAGTACCGACCCAGTGTTTACAAGCGAACGTGCAAAGAAAGTCAAATGCCCTTTACAGTAAAAGGTAAAACAATGATGTCGGACGTTTAAAGTTGGAGGAGAAAATTAGTTTTTCCGCCCTACCCTACCTTTCTGAACCGGTATATACAGATGAAGAGCTAACCGTGTGTGACCTTTCCAACGTGATGACGTCATGCGTGAAAGATGTGCATTTGTGATTAAAAAAGTATATACATTTTTTTTTTAGAATATGACCAATCGTTTCGCTAGATAAGACCCCTATTCCTCAGCTGTGATCGTGTAGAGTCCTTTGAAGCTGCATTGAAACTGCAATTTTGACCTTTCTGTTGGATCCGTTGGCCACCATTGAAGTCCATTATACACTGAACAAAATTATAAACGCAACACTTTTGTTTTTGCCCCCATTTTTCATGAGTTGAACTCAAAGATCTAAGACTTTTTCTATGTACACAAAAGGCCTATTTCTCTCAAATTTTGTTCACAAATCTGTCTAAATCTGTGTTAGTGAGCACTTCTCATTTGCCGAGATAATCCATCCACCTCACAGGTGTGGCATATCAAGATGCTGATTAGACAGCATGATTATTGCACAGGTGTGCCTTAGGCTGGCCACAATAAAAGGCCACTCTAAAATGTGCAGTTTTATCACACAGCACAATGCCACAGATGTCGCAAGTTTTGAGGGAGTGTGCAATTGGCATGCTGACTGCAGGAATGTCCACCAGAGCTGTTGCCCGTGAATTGAATGTTAATTTCTCTACCATAAGCCGTCTCCAAAGGCGTTTCAGAGAATTTGGCAGTACATCCAACTGGCCTCACAAACGAAGACCACGTGTAACCACACCAGCCCAAGACTTCCACATCCAGTATCTTCACCTGCAAGATCGTCTGAAACCAGCCAACCGGACAGCTGCTGCAACAATCGGTTTGCATAACCAAAGAATTTCTGCACAAACTGTCAGAAACCGTCTCAGGGAAGCTCATCTGCATGCTTGTCGTCCTCATCGGGGTCTCGACCTGACTGCAGTTTGTCGTCGTAACCGACTTGAGTGGGCAAATGCTCATATTCGATGGCATCTGGCACTCTGGAGAGGTGTTCTCTTCACGGATGAATCCCAGTTTTCACTGTACAGGGCAGATGGCAGACAGCGTGTATGGCGTCGTGTGGGTGAGCGGTTTGCTGATGTCAGCGTTGTGGATCGAGTGGCCCATGGTGGCGGGGGGGTTGTGGTATGGGTAGGCATTTGTTATGGACAACGAACACAGGCGCATTTTATTGATGGCATTCTGAATGCACAGAGATACCGTGACGAGATCCTGAGGCCCATTGTTGTGCCATTCATCCACGACCATCACCTCATGTTGCAGCATGATAATGCATGGCCCCATGTTGCAAGGATCTGTACACAATTCCTGGAAGCTGAAAACATCCCAGTCCTTGCATGGCCAGCATACTCACTGGACATGTCACGCATTGAGCATGTTTGGGATGCTCTGGATCGTCGTATACAACAGTGTGTTCCAGTTCCTGCCAATATCCAGCAACTCCACACAGCCATTGAAGATGGAAGATTGTGGACCAACACAGGCCACAATCAACAACCTGATCAACTCTATGCGAAGGAGATCAAAAAATGGGGGCAAAAACAAAAGTGTTTCGTTTATCATTTTGTACAGTGTAAGAAAAATCCTGGAATGTTTTCCTCAAAAACCTTAATTTCTTTGCTATTGAAGACAGAAAGACATGAACATCTTGGATGACATGGGGGTGAGTAAATTATCAGGAAATTTTTATTCTGGATGTGAACTATTCCTTTAAGGCTGGAATACACTACAGAATTTTGCCCTGATTTTTTTAGATTTTAAAAGTCATGTAATGTTTTCCAGCCTTTAATAGTTTTTTTAAGGGGACTGTAATGTTTTTTTTTTTTGTTTTTTTTTCAGATTTCTTTAATGAATCGAAAGTTTAAAAAAACAAAGCAGCATTTATTTGGAATAGAAATCTTTGGTAACATTATGCCTTTACTGTCACTTTTGATCAATTTAATGCATCCTTGTTCAGTACAATTATTAATTTCTTTTATTTTCTCTTTGCTCTTTTAATGTTTAGGTCTGGATGACAGCCTACAACCGTATGTGCACAACTTTGAGAGAGAAAAGATTAATGGAGAACAGCTACTGAAGATCTCACATCAGGACCTTGAGGAACTGGGCATTGTCCGCATTGGCCACCAGGAACTGGTTTTAGAGGCTGTAGATCTCCTCTGTGCTCTGGTTAGTGTTCTTATTCACATTTGTTGTGGCTCTAAATTAATGACCTAATTATGACATATTTACTGTCGCAAATATATAAGGACTGCTAATTTAAAGGGGTCATATGATGCGATTTCAAGTTTTCCTTTCTCTTTGGAGTGTTACAAGCTGATTGTGCATAGATAAGATCCCTGAAGTTGCAAAGACTAAAGTCTCAAAACCAAAGAGATATTCTTTATCAAAGTTAAGACTCTGCCACGCCCCCCTAAACCGGCTCGTTCTAACACGCCCCCACATATCTACCTCACTATGTGGAAATATTAGCATAATGCGGCCCAAATGTTCATGCAAAGAAAGAAGGCGTGGTTTCAGTAACCGCAGTTAGTGTTGAAGCAGCGCGCGCGGGTGAGTGAGAGAGAGAGAGAGAGACAGAGAGAGAGCGAGCGAGAGAGAGGGTCACATCACAGTGGAGTCAGCTGTCTTAACCGTGGCTTGTGTACTGCACACATACCAGCTTCATCACTGTGTCTGGCCAATCAGAGCAGACTGCATTTGTTGGAAGGAGGGACTTTATAGAAAACGAAGCATTTGAGAGAGGCGGGGCATAGAGGACCTACAATAATGTACAGTATTTGAAAAAGAATGTGTTTTTTGAACATTAAAGCATGTCAACATATTCTGTTACACCAAATACACCAAATAATGATCTTTTAAAAAGCATCATATGACCCCTTTAAGCTTTACTTACCAAATAGTTTTATATTAGGTTTCTTTTACTACTATGTATATATAGTACATTAAAAAAAGAAAAACAAGCATTTGATACAATGTCCTTATTGTGTTACATTCAGGGTTTGAAATTAACACCCGCCAACCTGCCAAATGCGGGTAAAAATCAGCTATTTCTATGCTATTTCGACAACAAAAAAACATTCCAAACACAGCCACAGTACTGTTTTGCATCTCTGAGCAACATCCAGTAACTTAAAAATTTAGTAGCCAAATTGGCTGGTGAGTGAAAGTTAATTTCAGTCCCTGGTTGCATTGTACTTAAACTTACATGTAATTATATCACAATGTTATTACATTACAGTGTTGATCCTAAACCTAAACTTAGCCTTAAACCTACCCCTTCATCTAAACTAAACTAATAAACTTTAATAAAAGCTCAATTTGGCTCTCCAAGAGTTTTGTGTATGTTCACAATAAGTACATTTTATCAAATGAAAAAAATAACAAAACAACATTTACTACCACTGGAGCATCCCCCCCCCCCCCCCAAAAAAAAACCTTTTGAATAAGTTTTTCTTTTTATACTTTATTCGATTTTCGTATTTAGTTGTAGTCATTTTGTTGTGTGTTTTTGTATTTTTATATTTATTATTTCAGTTTTAGTTCATTTTTATTTAGTTTATATGGTTTTAGATAAAAATTTTGGTTTTAGTTAACGATAATAACCCAATTTGGTCAGAGAAACAAATAATTATTTAAAGGGAAAAATAGTAAATCAGTTTCTACTAGAGATCGGGATTCTCAAGGATCGGGATTGGGGCCGATCAAACTTCTTTTTTTTAACTAATCGGTATCGACTCTCCTCAGCCCGATCCTTATTTTATGTCAGACTTTCTGAGATATCGTTGTTATAACGCGTTGTTATGGATTGCATCTTGATTTAGACTTGATTAACAGACTGGCATTCTAACACCATGAGCTTCATGCTTTCTAACCTTATCTCCACTTTATGTTGCAATTATTCTGCTAATTGAACATATAAAATACAAGAAGTTTATATCAGTAGTCCCATATTCATAATTGTGAACACACAATGTCTATAAAGTCTACCATTGTAACATTTATACATTGTGTGCATATTTATACATAAAGAGAGTGTATCCTGTAAAAAAAAAATATATATATATATATATATATATATATACATACATAAACATTCATCATATATACTGTATATTTCTTTTACTCTCTGCACAACTCTGCATACATTGGATTGATTTGAATAACTTTAATGTACTTGAAGTGTGCACCAAACATACATTCCTTTATGCATATGCAAGTATCTGGAAAAAAGACTCTGCTATTGTCTTCTTGCATTATTGACAAACTATTTTCCTGTTTGACACTGTAGCTGCTTTGACACAACCAGTATTGTAAAGCACTATACAAATAAAGGTGAAAAAAAAGTATTGAATCGGGACTCTGTATCGGCATATACTCAATGTTCAGTAACTCAGATCGGATCGGGGACACAAAAAACCTGATCGGGACATACATAGTTTCTACATTACTATTGATATTTTATACAGACACTGTTGAGATCTCTTGGAGTCCTAACATAACACCGTGTCTGCACTGGACGCTGTCAGTGCAGTGCAGACACGGCGTGGCGCAACTGACAAAATACTATAGAAACCATTATAGTCAGTAATGCCGTCTACACTGGATGCGGCAGAACACGACAAATCCCGACAGTAAACTGATGCATCGTTCTATTTATGACATACTGATACAAAGTTCAAATTTTTGCTTTGTCACATCCAGTATAGACAGCCTCAAGCTGTTGCAGCGCAGCACGGTGCGACACGACAACTGTCATGTCCGGTGTAGACACGGTGTAAGGAGCGTAAAATAAATTTCAGCACTCTATTTAAACATCTCTTTGAGCAATATCCCATAGATCTTCATGTATAATTGTATGACTGACTGTATGCAGTCCTTTTATTAATATTTTCTAAAGGCTTTTCCTGGCCCACAAATATTGATCAATCAACATTACTATTTTCTTCCGTTGGCCTGCTAATTTAAAAACAAATAGGTAATTAGTCACATACTATTTGAGCATTCGTCCACACATTTGAGAAAAACATGTAATGTGCACTTGGTTTTTGGAATAATAATGCTGTTTACCGAATAGAACAGCATGTGTTTTAAAAAAGGAAACAATGAAATCATTACATGACAGATAACTAGGCTCAGACAGACTTTGGTGTCTGTAGGGGGTAGAAACTACAAGGACCTGAAATGAACACATGGACATGCATAGAAGTTCTTGGTTGCTTTGACAGATGGTCGTGTCAATGCTTGTAAATGATACAATACATCCCAGTGTCCAGCACCGAATGCTTAATACGGCCCAGACCCTTAGGATCAAAAGGATTCAGTGGCCACAAATCTAAAAAAAAAATTTTTTTTACCTTTTTGTTGTTTTGTAGGTTCATATTTAAAAACTGAGTTGAAATTGTCATTATGTGAGAAGAAGGAGAGCATATCAACATGGAACAACAGTCAGTTATATTCTTAAAAATCAAGAACCTTTTTTGGGTCCCTAAATAATTTTTTTTTTCTCTTAGTGTGAAGAACAATTTAATAACTTTTTTTTTTTAATCTACTATAAAGAATCTTTTTTGCAAAAGTTCTTCATAGAACCATATATATACCAATAAATAACCATTATTTTTAAAAGTATAAGTAATTTTATAGGCACTACTCCAAATACTTGACCACAGAGTACCTGATTGATCAAGTATTCCAGAGAGCAGTGGATCAATATAAAAGTATGAAATCTTCAGATAAAATGATAAAGCAATATACAGACAGAATCTAGGATGTCAATTAACATTATGTGAAGTGCATCACAGTAAGGATTCTTGTAGAATTCATGATTTAGAATGAGACATTTAAGTATTTTTCCAGATCATCCCCCCTAAACCATATTCATCTGTTTTGTCCCTAAATCACAGCAGCCTCTTTGATGGAAAAAGTCTCCTATTGTCTCATAGCTCTGGAAATAATATTAAAGACACTCAGGCCAAGTATTGAAGGCAGAAATTGCTACGTGTTAGTGTTACCAGCACTCCAGACGTCGGATCGCCGTTGTTTTCTCACTGCGTGACTATCTGGGGTAGCATTCAGTCGCTGCTGTGTTCACATTGCACGATGGATCGGCGACAGGAGGTCACTGCATGACTTCACAATAGGAAGAATCGCCGACAGCTCTGTCTGGTCCGCAAACTACGTTTCACAACAAAACACATGCGAGAAGTGATAAGGAAATAACGCGAGAACCCTCAGACAGGAGTTCTCGTGAGCAAGACTAATTAACTTATTAACTAATTAAATATATATATATATAGCCCGCAAATTGTCTGTGAGCTGATTTCCAGCTACAAGGAGAAAAAGAAAAACAGATGATGCAGGAGGGAGATGCAGGGAACAGGGATTTGGGTGCATGTTCTGCAAAGAGAGTTGGAGGTAAATAATTTTGCAGTAACTGTTATGCTGATGTTGTGGCTGGTCGAGCAAATGTTTGTGCTTGTTTCTGTATGATATAATTGTTCATATATCTATTAAAATAATGAGATTCTGGTCTATAACTCCTCCCTGAACTTCCCTCTGCCCTGTATCTTGGTCTCTCATTGGCTGTAGGTCATCGCCGATGTGTTTTTCAGTAAGAACTCATTTCACACAGCGCGATTGTGAATCGCCGACAGCTCCAGATATTTAGCATGCCAAATATTTCGCGGGCATCGGCGACGCATCGGCGATTCCCTCAGATCGCGTCTTTGATAATTCACACTGCGTGATTGTCACTCGCGTGAACGAGCACCGATTTGCCTCCGATGTCGGGCATTTGTCTACGATTTCGCAAAACCTGTCGGCGAGTGAAAAATCGGGCTAAAATCATGCAGTGTGAACTCGGCATTAGGGACACAATACTTGGCCACATGTCATGTCACGTCACTTTCAGGACTTGTACCATTTCTGCTAGTTCAGTTGTCTGGTATCAGTATTAACTCATCACTGTCTGGTATCAATATTAACTCGTCTTGCTGATATCAATGTTGGCTCGAGTACCTCTAGTCAGCAGACATGAATTTAACAGGAAGCTAATTATGCTGGTTAACTTTGTCTTTGTGCAGCATTATGGGGTTGTGATGTTCAGAACTCCATATGTTCTTAAATGAACATACTCATGAGTTGTCAATATGATGGTTTAAAATACAAAGACTGCGGTGCTGCCATCACCAGTGTTTGGAAGGCGATATGCAGATGGAAAATGTGTAAGTGTTGTTCTATCCCTTTTAGACCATAGCAGATATTCCAGGGGCTATCAGGCTTAGATGCTGTACTTTTGCAATCTTAAGATTTGCCAGACCAGGAGGAACACTCTAGACTGCAGTTGAGATGTGTCCTTTCCAAGATATTAAAAGTGGAGCACAGGGGATGCCAGGTTTCGCAGCTAAATCAAGCAGCACACATTATGCCAAATAATTTTAAAGTCTAAATAGGGCTTTGAAATTTTAAACAGTCCAATTGCTTTACATCATGAAACACTTGAGCAAGGGGTGTTGAATTTGATACATCAAGGATGGTACTTCTAAGCATGGATTAAATTGCACTGTCTCTTTGCTTTTTGCTGCGTCTACTGGACAAGCCTTCATTCATTGCATGCCAGAGGTGGATAGAATTTCTCTACTACAAACAAATTGTACTGAGGCAAGTCAAGCAGAAAGTTTTGTATATAAATCAAACAAGTGTTGTAAATCAGTTGCATGCAAGGAAACAAAAAAACTGGAGCAATGGAATGCAAACTTGTGTTGTTCATATCCATCAGGTGGTGGCATGTGCACATCCCATAGGTGTGGAATGCAACCATAAAAAGTTTAACTGCTGAAGCAATAATCAGCTCAATTAAAAATTGAATTTATTGCGCTCTCAGTCAGGGGAATCACCAACTCTTTAAACTAAAAGATAAAAAATTAACAGTTGTTGGTCAGTGTATCAGATGTACACCTTTGCTTTGTGCCTTGCTGTTTTTTCAGCATCTCACATACTGTATTTAAGACAGATTACGTTAAAACATGTTTCAAAATCATCTCATGTCCCTGTATTCTGTTCCATTCTGTCAGTTGTGTTGTGTCAACTGTTTCAATACATGAATGCATTCTGTGTGTATGCACCCAATCCTCTCCAAACAGTGTTGAGTGCTGTCGTTGCCACATATACAGTACATCACACGTACCGTATGTATACCCTAGCGTATGTGTAAAAACCAAAGTATGCTTTGGATTTTACAGTAATATATCATTTACAGTAAATATATCATTCTACTTCTTCCTCAGAACTATGGTGTGGAGACAGATAACTTGAAGAACCTGGTGCTGAAGATGAGAGCTGTGACCAGCAGCCTTCACACTGCAACATCAGAACGAAGGAAGAGCCCTACGTATGAAAGCAACACGTCTAGCAAGCTCCCAAATGAATTCCTGTCCTCTGTGGTTGAACTTATTGGAGCAGCCAAAAGTCTCCTGGCATGGCTGGACAGGTACACACATCCCCATTCATCATTTCTTTACATATTTCTATTGCTTATTTCTGTTTCTGTTGCTTCTTTATTTATGTAATGGGGACGTATAGCATGTGAAGGGATATGGTGTGTTGTGCACAGATGATTTATAAGGGGTTTTTACTCTTAAAGCTGATGTTAACCCTCTGTAAGGTCATATATTTCACTGCAAAGAACAAACTTAGACTTGCATGAGCAGCACTTAGATTTTTCCAGACAGTTGAAACCAGATACAATCTGCCTTTCTTTCCAAACCCCTCTGTGCACAGCTAACCACATCTTTCTCGTGAAGGAGAGATTTTTTGTGAACAAAAAAACTGTTTCAATTTGGTGTAGGATTTACTTTGAAACCGTTCACACTCAGAAACTGCTAAATTCACAAATAATTACAAGGAAATGGCAAGTAACATTATAAATAAACAAGAAATATGGAAGTAGAAAGACTGAAGTAGTATTTGTAAATCGTACTGCAATAGTCTTTGTTTAATTCACAAATCCAAAAAAATCAGCCAGGCAGCTACTCCACAAACTACGCAAATGTCCCTCACACAATTCCGTTTGAGTTGACTAGAGACTGTATAACAGAGGTGGTCCACTTGTAAATATATATAAATGGGAGAAATCAAAATTGTGGCTATTGTCCCAGCGTCTTTGCATTTTCAGAGGCATCTCAATGTGGCCATAGCAGTAATTCAGTCCTTATATGTATATGTATATGTATATGTGGCTATATATATACTGTATATATATATATATATATATATAGCCACAGAGTGAGCTCACTTGCCTTAAGAGGGTTTTGGTTTGACAAAGCATGTTGTTCAGCTAACTAAGGTACTTATCACACAATACATAGAACACAAAATTTACATCCAATATATATCAAGAAAACCAGAAAGCGACTGCTTACATAGAGACAATTCCCAACACAGGAAATATGTTGGGATTTAATAAGTTCATCCACCTAGAACAATAGTCCAACCACAAAAACACAACTTCATCTTTTTCTTCTTTCTGAAAAACATTTAACGAAAAGTGTTTTAACAAATATACAAGCTTCATATTTCTGCTTTTAGTATATGTATATGTATATGTGGCTATATATATACTGTATATATATATATATATATAGCCACAGAGTGAGCTCACTTGCCTTAAGAGGGTTTTGGTTTGACAAAGCATGTTGTTCAGCTAACTAAGGTACTTATCACACAATACATAGAACACAAAATTTACATCCAATATATATCAAGAAAACCAGAAAGCGACTGCTTACATAGAGACAATTCCCAACACAGGAAATATGTTGGGATTTAATAAGTTCATCCACCTAGAACAATAGTCCAACCACAAAAACACAACTTCATCTTTTTCTTCTTTCTGAAAAACATTTAACGAAAAGTGTTTTAACAAATATACAAGCTTCATATTTCTGCTTTTAAACCCTTGAAGTTCAAGGCCCTGTTTACTGTGATTTTCAAGTGCCTTACTGTAACCACAATTTCATGTGGATATTATGACACAAATGATGTCGGCTTTGAACTCAGAACACTCCTTTAAAGTCTAAGCTACTGTTGCTTTTATTACTCTTATTATTATGCCTTAACCACATAAAAATTCAGCGATATCTTCTCAAGTTACATGGTGTGATTGTTCTGATCTGTCTGGGAAAAAAATAAATGGAAACTGACTGTGCTTAATGGTTTCATAGGGAGTTGACATGGTAACGTGTTTAATTCCAGCTGCAGTTTTTATGACCACAGACTCAAACTCCAGATATGCAGTGATGGAAATAAAGTTCTTGCTATTGTAGGCCACATCAGAAAACCCTTCACAAGGAGTTTGTTGTCCTGTCCTGGTATTAATTTGATCTTTTATACAGTGTGAATTCTGTAATGTCTTTTAACCTTTGTTTCCTCTGTCTGCAGAACTCCATTGACAGAGATCAGTGATTTCACCACCACCAAGAACAAAATCATTCAGTTGTGTCTGGAACTGACAACTACAGTACAACAGGTCAGCACAATGACCGTTTTTTTCAAATAGTATAGACGCACTGAACATGCTAACATTCACCTTCCATGCTCATTTTAAAGCTCTCATGCATTTCCCAGTGGAGCTGGAAAGCTGGAAAATGCAGCTAGTTATCTAACCTTATGTTGTCTTGCAGTGTTTGCTTTGGGGGGTTTACTTCAGACAGTAATAAGCAGTCCCCCCCACCCACCCAACACATCAGTCACAGGTTCTGAGTTTACAATTTCATTAATCAAGCCAGGATGCTCTTTTAAAGTTGGCCTCCGGCATTCCTTTATGTTATCTTCCTTGCTTGTTGTTACATGGTTGAAGCAATGCATGGTGTTAGGATGTTAGTTTGATATATATATTTGCTCTCATATAATCTCTCCTATTACATTCTTGGCTAGTATTTAAAGACGTTTGGATGGTTAAATGGTATTTTTTTTATTTAGTTAAAATGAAGAGGTTTTGGCATTGAAGAATTGGTCAGTGGCAATGTTCATTTTAGTCATATTGTAGACATTCCAGATTTCTTCCAAGAACTCATTTTTGTGTTTTCAGAAAGTGGTCTAAGATTTCTTCTGAGAATTTGAAAGACCTTTAACATTTTGACAGCCATGCAGCCATAGATTCTTGTTTGGGAAATGGAATATTCTGTAGAATTGTGACTTCATGGCTTTCTTGGCTGTCTATGGTAGTTGGAATACTTATTAAACTCTCAATTCAAATGACTTGGGGAGAGATTGAGTGTTTACAGTGTTATTTTTGACTGTTTGTAGATGTCTGTAATTGGCTGTTCTAATGGAAAGAGAGGGATATGGTATGCGGCACTCTCGGTTTAACCATTTTGTAATTCCATTTATTTCAACAAAACCTTCAACAGTGGATGCAGAATTTCCTCCTATATGTCACTGCTCTAAGGGCCAGATTATTGAAGCATGTTAAAATATTTAAAAGGGTCATATGATGTTGCTATAAAAAACATTATTTTGTGTATTTGGTGTAATGCAATGTGTTTACGCCGTTTAAGGTTCAAAAACACATTATTTTCCACATACTATACATTATTGTTTCTCCTCTATGCCCCACCTTTCTGAAATGCGTTGATTTTTACAAAGCTCATCGGTCTAAAAAGCGATGTGTGCTCTGATTGGCCAGCTGTCTAGTGCATTGTGATTGGTCGAATACCTCAAGCATGTGACGGAAATGTTACGCCCCTTACCAGGTTCAGGAAACTTTCCTCCGTAAAATGCGCTGCACACATTTGAATATTTGGGTTGAACTGTTCTGGAACAGTGTTGTAAATAAAACTTAACCACTGATTTCTAGTTGTGTCTTCTGTTGGAAGGCCAAACAAAGTAGTGTCGCTTTCGCAATGAAACACACAGCATCTCCACGACATGGCAGCGGCGGCAACAATACTACAGCGAGAGTAAAAGTTAAAAGTTAAGCCTTCTTTCTTTGCGTGAACATTTGGGCGGTGTTATGCAAATCTTCCCACACAGTGATGTGGGGGCGTGTTTGAATGAGGCGTTTTAGGAAGGCTTGGCTGTGCGTTCACTTTTATAAAGAATATCACTTTGGGTTTGAGACTTTAATCTTTGCAACTTTACGGATCTTCTGTATGCACGGAACAGCTTTTAACACTCCAAAGACAAAGGAAAACATGAAATCGCATCATATAACCCCTTTAAAACGTTTAAAATACATTGGGAATGCCATCATTAAAATCTTTATTTTGTTTACTTTATTATAGGACATGGTTGACCAAATTCAAATTTGTGTGACAAAAAAACATTCCTTTGATAATGTATCAATGTACACAATTTAATTTAATAAACAATTTAATATATACTTAATGTGAGTGTTTAAATAACCACTTACTTAAATGAAATGTATAAATGAAAAATAAATATATAATACTTGTAATAAAACTATTACAAATATCATTAATTTCATTTAAGCTAGTAGTTGAAATGATCAACCTAGAGTCTCTATAGAGAGTAAACTGGAACCAGAGGCAATAGGGATCTTGCCTAAGACCAAAATTGTCAGAAACAGCCTGGGTTTATGGAATGGGGTGGAGGGGGTGGGGTCAAGATTGTCTGATACTCTATATTAATGAAGAGTTTACAGCTCAGTCAGGAGTTTAATGATGTGGGAGAAAATCATTAGATTGCATAGCCTCGAACAGGAATGCAGCATGACAAATGCAGAGGGGGGACAGATTAAAACAACTGCTTCAGACATTTCACTCTGATTCCCAGTCACGTGGAGCTCCAAAATAAGAATAGAAACATATTGCAGATATGAAGTATAAAGGACTGAATTTAGGCCCAAGTACCTGGGCCTATTGAGTATAAAATAAAATATTGTTGTACACACAAACTACATCAAACATGGTGAAAAAAACCCCTCAAACATCATACTGTTTGGTCACATGAAATTTGACTTTGCACTTTAGTTGATGTTTGTCACCATATTTGATGTAGTCTGTGTGCTACAAGCATGACCGTAACCAGGGTTTGAAAATTAGTGAGGTCTGGGTGGGGTGTTAAGTATCGTGCTATAATAACACCTACAAATGCAACACATTATATACACTACATATAGTATAAACTTTAAAAGAGAGAGAGACGTAGATGTTTGTGAAAGATGATTTCTCTGTTTTGGGGATGGACATTGTTAATTTAGACCTTATTTATTGCATCAAAATTTGTTAATACTTGGGTGGATAATTGTATTAGTTTATTATTAATGCAATAATACTTATTACTGTTATGCTTTTCATTAGTAAGAATTGCTATATGATAAGAACTTTCTCTAGTGCTCTTATGAATGTTTTAGCATGACTTTGTGAAAGATTAACTACTAAAACTGAATGAAACGGCATTCTTCCTCATGGCCAGTGTCTGCATATTTGGCACATTTAATTTTGGAACCTACTTGTTCTACAGATCTCTGTACTAGTGTTATATGCTACTGTTTTTGATATCATTGATACCATTTATTACAGATAATATCATGATGGTCATTATGTGTCTTACTGAATGTGTTAACTTGCTGTTTTTTCTCTTCTTTTTTTTTTTGATTATTGTCTGTTTAAGTGCCGGCGATGCAGTGTTGCCAGGCATTGTTATGGTAACAAACGAAAACAAGCCCCCCAAAAAATAAAATAAACCGAAATAAGTTTAAATCTTTTGTTTTGGAAATAAGATAAAGTTATCACTAACCCTAAACTGCTACTTTCACTTTATTAACTTCCTAAAGTGTCACATTAAAGGTGGGGTAAGTGATTTCTGGTTGCCAGTGTTGATATTTCAAATCACCAAAACAAACACGCCCCTACCCCAAAAGGGTCTCGCCCCTATTTTGATAGCTCCGCCCCACACATTCGTACGCAACCCAGGCAACGATTAGTTCTGTGAAACAAAGCAAAACCAATGTTACACCATGTCTACACCGGACGCGAGCGGCGCGGCGCGACAAATCACCGACAGAAAACTGCTGCTGTGTTCTATTTATGACGTATTGACACAAATTTCAAATGATTTTCAATGGTCGCTTTATCGCGTCCAGTGTAGACTGACTTTAGCTGTTGCGGCGCGGCGTGACAACTGTTGCGTCCAGTATAGACACGGTGTTACTCACCTATCGAGAAGAAACAAAGCAGGCCTTCCGCTCCTTGAGTTCTCTCCAGCGTTGGAAAGCTGATCCAATATTTACACGGGTCCTACTTCTTGCCTTATCGTAAGCCTTCTTTTGTTCTGCAGACGTTTTCCTCTTTTGTTTTTTATCCACCATCTCTATCTTTCTGTCGCTCGGCTCGGCTAATGTCCGTCCTGTGCACTGAACGCTCTCTCCTCCACATCATGAGTAGACACGCCCCTTACTGCTGAATGGCTACAAGTTTGTTTTGGTACTCTGCTCGACTCAGTTTTCTAAAGCGTTTTTGAAAAAATACATACCCACCTTTAAGTGGAAAAAACAAGTTCAACGATGAGTGTAATAATTGGATCTGGCAACATGACTGAGACTGTGCCCGCGCCCGCGCCCTCACTCACAACTTTCTCTCAAGCCACGTTCACATGAATCGCTTTCCATCATTTTCACATCACGGACACTAAACAATCTAGGCAAACCATTTAAATTGAATTATACATGTAGATACTCATAGGAGGAGTTTTAAATGGCTAGTTATTCAGAGAACTTAAAAAAAAAAATTTTATATGAAAAATTGACAGAGGTATGGACCTCTGTGACCTTATAGCTGGCTACGGCTATGACCACAAGTGTTGATTATCATTGGGTGAACTATTCCTTCAAAGCTGGCATAGCAACTGTCCAGCAACCTTCAAACATTTTAAAAACAATTTTTAAAAAATCTCTCCCTTCTAGCCTTAATGCACCAGATGCTGGGTTTCCTCACTTTGGTGTACTCCCACAATGTCTTGTGTAATTATCTTGTCTTGGAGTGGACATAGAGATGTAATTCAAGGCTGTTTATTTTAGGCTGGAGGTCATTCACTATTGTTGTGTCAAGCTCTGTAATTATACAGCATTCCTAAATCTGAACTTTTTATTTTTATTATTGCAATTTTTCTTTCTTTCATGCACAGGACTGCACTGTCTACGACATGGAAGAGAATATTTTGGATGTTGTAAGTATTTTGCATTTCCAGTATTACTTTTTTATACTCATAAAGCTATTTGTTTTATTTCTTTCACTTAATTGTGTAAATGAGGATAATGGAACTAGTTTTAGTTAGTTTTATGTTTCTGAGTTTCTCAGGCAGCAATGCCTTTTACCATGCATCATTTCATGTTGCAATAAACATATATTTACACTGGCATTGTTATATTATTACAAAATACTAAATATTATTTATTTAATATATTTAGTCAGAATACATTACTTAAAATGTGTAATCAATAGATTACGATTTTGGATGTTGTAAGTATTTTGCATTTCCAGTATTACTTTTTTTATACTCATAAAGCTATTTGTTTTATTTCTTTCACTTAATTGTGTAAATGAGGATAATGGAACTAGTTTTAGTTAGTTTTATGTTTCTGAGTTTCTCAGGCAGCAATGCCTTTTACCATGCATCATTTCATGTTGCAATAAACATATATTTACACTGGCATTGTTATATTATTACAAAATACTAAATATTATTTATTTAATATATTTAGTCAGAATACATTACTTAAAATGTGTAATCAATAGATTACATTACTGACTATAATTTTCATCATGTACTGTAATTTGAAATCAGTGACACAAAATTATAAATCTGCCTATCACTGGAAATAAAAACTCTTACGTGCAGTGACATGTGAGCATATGCAGTCATATATGCGTAGTATTGGGCATTGGGCAGGGTGAAGGACGTTTGGAATTTACATGCAAGTGTAGGTATAATGGGTTGACAAAATCACAAACACAAAGCATGAATGGGTTGGGTCCTATTATTTGTTCCTTCACTGTCAAGCAAGAAGTTTATAGTGTAAATGGTCTGTCTGCAATACAAGACAAATGTAGATTATTTGGTTTATCTTAGGTTATGTTGCACTATCTGTTTATATAGAAAGGAAAAAGTCCTTATCATCAGGACCACCTGGCTGAATTTCATTTCAGATTACAACCTAGGTTTAATGTTAAAACAATTCTAGTAGTGACGCCTTCATAAATGCAAAGTAAACCATGGGGGGCTTGCTGTTCTCTCCAGTGTTTCATCGAGAATGTTACCGTTCATTTTGTTTACACTCCTGTTCTTGTGCACTGAGTGGAAAATTAAATCAAAACTCAAATAGTGTTCGGTTTGTTTATTCAAGCTACATGGTTTGTTGGACTTCATTTATGTGCTTGGCTTCTGTGAATTATTGTAGAATTTTTAAGTAGTAGTTCTAATGTACTGTATCTGTTTTTCCAGACCCAAATTGAAGATTGCATTAGATTAGATTAAAATAAGTGCTTACATTATTGGTACAATCAACATGGTAGTCCACTAGACTCTGGAAAACCGCCTTTGATCATGTGTTTTTATTTAGATTTATCCACAGTATTGCTTCTGTATTGGTGGGATGCTTGGAACAAGCTTGCATGAGCAGAAATATACTCCAGCAGTCTACCGCTGTTAATAATGATGAGTTGTAATTGGGTGGTTTGGGAGCATAAAGTGGAGAAGGGACAGTTTTGGAGGAGGAAGGGAGTTCCCATAATTTAAAAAAATTGTTCAAAGCTGAAAAATCAGATAATACTGTAGCTGTTATCCCAACTCCTTCCCCTTGGGACTTAGCTGCTGTAATCTTCTCCCTTCTCCTGATACTATGCCATGGAGCAAATATGGAGATCAACCCTCAGATGCATTCACAGGATAAGTATGTATTTGTAATGCATAGCCAGGTGACACTTTATTTGGATAGTTCATCTTAGACTGTCTACTAATTATAAGCAGACTGTTAGGGTAAGGGTTGGGTTTAGTATAATAAGTTGATATGGACATGCAAAGTTGATATGTACTTGCAATAGTCAGTAGCAATGTCTGTTGGGGAACCATCAAAATAAAGGGTTAGCAGATATTAAGCAGACAGTCTACTAATACTAGTAATACACTAATACTAATATGAATGCTAGTTGACATGTCTAAAGTGGACTATCCAAATAAAGTGTAAATCATAGCCATTTTGAATTGCACATCTTGAGTGACAGAATTTGAAGATGCTGCTCAATCATCCAGCACTATTTTTCTAAACTCTCTGTTCTCCTAAATTGTAGTCAAAGGTGTTGAACAGTATTTGTGACCAGACTGTGAGAACCACCTCTGACCCTCTCATGAGCCAGTCAGCATGTCTGGAGGAAGTTCAGCTGACCGACATCAAACCAGGAGAGGGATTGGTGAGAATTATTTTTTTATAATTATTATCTACCTTCATAATGGTTATCTCCATTCGAGAGATTGTCAAAATCTCCATTCGAGAGATTGTCAAAATCGTGATTAAAATCGAAATCGCAAAATTGATCAAAGAAATCGCGATATGTTTTTTTTCCATATCGCACAGCCTTATATTGCAGTGCTGGAAGCCAGCAAATGAACTTGGTCAGAGATCACAGATTCTACCCGACCTAAAAAGCCTCGACATCCATCTAAAAAGCTCTATGACCAGAAGTGTATTAAAAAGCGGATGAATCTACTCAATTTATAGTGGAAGGCTTGTTGCCTCATATTGTCAAATGCGGTCGTTCCTGTTGTGTGTCCTCAATCTGGCAACTCTCCTAAGTGTCGGGAAAAAAAAACATCTAAAAGGAATATGATTGCTTCAGATAAGTCAATAATGTTGGCCATTGCTGTTTGAGCTCCATTAGCTAAAGCTGAAGAGTGAATGAACACAGGTAAACTGAAGCATTTTGGTAGCAGGTTAATTAACACAACCAAACAAATCCTATAATTTGAAATATACACAACATAATATTACAACTTGTGTAATAACTACACAAAATGACGTGAATGCACTAGTGAACTTGTGAAAGCACTAGTGAAAAACTGCCATAACCAATCAGGAAAAAAGTAACATTTAGTTTTAGAATTAAGTCACATGATCATTGTTGTCACTTCTGAGTACTCAAGTATACATTCTCATGCCTAAAATGTGCTGCAATATTTTTTTTTTTCAATCTTTTCCTAATAATGTGGACTGGAGATTTCAAGCTTAAAAGGGATGCAAAAGCACCATCAAAGTACCATGAAAAAAGTCTATGTGTTTTTTTCTGTTTTATACAGGAAATCATTCTCTCTTTTCACTGCCAACTGTATAGAGATTATTGCCTCTCCTTTTCTGTTGTTTTCATGATTTTTCTCTCTACCTTCCTGTTACTCAGGGCATGTACATAAAATCCACCTACGATGGGCTTCATGTCATCACTGGCACCACTGAACATGTGAGTAAGGGCTCCAATGACGAAAGCCTTTGATTCATCACATTTCGCTTTTTGATGCCAGTGGCTGAAAATTTAGCTTTTATGTGCATGCCATGTTCAGTCTACTTGAGCAAATAATGGAAAGTAGAGGGGGCTTCTCTTACTTTATAGACTGAACAATGTTTGTAAGGGCTACAGATGTCAGGTTTGCTCATTCTTTGTATTTAGATTGGATTCCCAAGTAATGCATGGAGCTTTACAAAATGTAAAGCTGTACAAATTAAATAGCATGCAAAAATTATGCTTCTGTTCACACAACACATTGTGCTGCAATAAAAGGTGAATGCACCAGTTCCTGGTATTTTCAGCGATTCAGATTCTGTACTCTTTCCAGTGTATAGATGGTTGTAGACCACATTCTGATTTACATGCTAGCCATCATTGAAGACCATAAGTCGTAGATCTTGATCATAAAGATGTTAATTTAGTCTTAAATTATTTTTAATTAAATTAAAGTCTTCATTTTTGTTTCCTTACATTTATATCCCCAACTAACAAAAATATATTCTAGGAATGTTTTACTAACATTCTCGTTAAGTTGAACATTGAAAACATCCAGTTTTCTAAATGTTTAAAAAATGTTTTCTTGGTTATGTGAACATTAAGGGAACTCTGTCAAGTGGAGCGGAAGTATTTGTGTTCCCCAGGGGATTTGAACAAGTTAATTAATTTGTCTTTAGTCTGTATTTAACAATAGATATTCTAGACCGTGATTTCAAGATCACACAACACAACACTTCTCTGAAACTAAATTCCCACGAGTCAAGTGATGATTCATCCACCCCAGACCAGTTGATCGTTAATTACAGTTAGTTAATCAGACTTGCTTGTGATTTTATTGTTTATTTTTCATTATAAAACAACAAAAGCTTGTATTTAAGCAATATCACTGCTGTTGTACTGAATTTTAGGATGTGTTTCAGCCATCAGCAGTTCACTGAATACATTTTTTATAGCAAGTAACTTTTGCTTTAGACCAAATTTTTCTAGTATGTATTTTCCCACCAATAAAATCCAAATGATGCTTCCAAAAGAATCTCAAGATACACCAAAGTTATGATTATGAGGTATATGGATAAAGAGATTTATTTGTGCTATTTTGATGGCAGGGAGAAGTGTCATGGCTATATTGACATAATGAAGCATGGACTTGAAACTTGCAGTTAATTGAGTTCTGTTGATTCAGTAGCCGTTCTGACAGACTCTGTCAGTTCATTTAGTAAAAGATTCATCAGAAAGATGTGTCAGGCTGATTCACATGGGTAACTCCTCAGTTCATGAGGAGTTCTTTTTGAACAATTCAACAACTCTCTGGTATTCATTATTTGGTAGTCACACTCGTGTTATTTGCAGTCAAAGCTGACTGGAGACCATAATTGTATAATTTTATTTTTATGTACTGTATTTCATTTGAATAATGTTTTTTTTTTCTATTTTATATTTGGTATTTTGAAGGTATTTCATGTTACTAAACAATAATCACATCTAAATTATGGACCATTTATTTCTGTATGAAATGTATAAAAAATACATTTCATACTATTTTTAAGTTAATTCAGTGTTGAAATGAAAAATTGAGCAAAAGTACTTAAAGTCCAACTCTCAAACACGTCGTTTTCAATAAAGCCCCCTCATTTGACAAGCGCAGTCTGCTCTGATTGGCCAGCTGACCCAGTGCATTGTGATTGGCTGAACACCACAAGCACGCGTCGGAAATGTAATGCCCCTTACCATAATCGCGAGCTTCAGCTTTCAAAGTAAATATCAAGACAGTTAATAATGTCGTTAGTTTTACCATCAGTTCAAGCCCGAAAGGGCAACAGAGTTGCGTGACAGACACAGTGATGATGCAGTATACAAGCAGCAGTTAAGACAGCTGACGTGCTATGATTTCTGACAGGCAGTTCACTCTCCTGTGATGTGACCCTGTTCCCCTCACACACACACACACACACACACGATGCGTTACTCTGCGCTGCGTAACTTAAACTAATAACAAAACATACTTACAGTCGCTGATTCAGAAGCGCAGAAGCGC